TGCAATATTATGAAGCTGCAGACTCGGAGCCTGCATCTACAGTCCCCCACCGAGAGTCCCGCATTCTCAGACCCCACAGCGCCTCCTGCTGTTCAACAGATCGAATAACAACCACACACAGAGTCCAGCGTACGGTTATCCAAATGCAATTAAAAAACAACAGGATGCAATATTAACAGTCTCCAAATAAATTATCCAATAAATATTTGCGTTACCTGCTTAATGCATGTGCCAAAAAAAAAAAACCTCATTGTAACAGATGGAAGGATACAATTACAGATCTATCTTCTGAAAAATAGTATACGATATTATATTGCTACAATGTTTTTTTATATTTGTTTTATTCAAATTCCAATTTTTCTTTCAGTTCAACCTATAATAGTCTAATTAACATTATGATGCTAACATTACAAAATCTGTTTTATGATATTTTGAATGCGAAGCAAAACAAATCAGAATAGACAAAACACCAATAATAAACAATTCTGTACTTTATTTAATGATAACCTAAACATCATCTTGCTGTAAAGAAAAAAGGAAGAAAAAACTGTGTTCGTGACTTTACTTTTCGTCTTCCATTGCATTAAAAAAAACTCAAGTCGCTTTGCATAATCATAAAATGATATGTTGCTGGGTTAGGGGTAACTCCATCGATTGATGGTGTACCCTGGAATAACCTACAACAGTATAGGCCCGATAGCACATGTTATGATGTTTCAAAAAAAAAAAAAAAAAAAAAAAAAAAAAGAAAAGAAAAAGAAAAAAGTTGTTTGCAAATGTTACATTGCTCTGTTGAAATGTCCCTTGAGATGTTTTTGAACTTTGGACAACTTTGTGGGTTTGAAATATATGGGGGCACAAATGGCCAGTGAAAATCGAAAAACGAGGGGTCTGAGAATGCGGGACTCTAGGTGCAGGGGGACTCTAGATGCAGGTCTCCGAGTCTGCAGCTTCATACTACTCGATGTCTGCGTTAAAACACGCCGCCCTCATTAGAATACGGAGGAAGAAATGTTGGAATAAATAAATGTGGAAATAATTAAATGTGGAAATAAATAAATGTAGAAATAAATAAATGTGAAAATAAATAAATGTAGACATAAAAACATAAATACATAAATGAATGTGGAAATAAATAAAAGTGGAAATAAATAAATGAATAAATGTAGAAATAAATAAATGTGTGAAAAAATACAATTATACATAAATATGGAAATAAAAATATAAATACTCATTTATTTGTACTTTTTTACATTTCTTTGTATATTTAATTATGTATTTATTTTTGTATTTTTGCTTTTTTACATTTCTTCGTATATTTATTTATGTATATATTTATTTTTAATTAAGTCAGCTTTGGCATTCCATACTTGCCTGTCTGCAGACTACCCTGTAATAAACTCACACTGCGTTTGGATCTACCTTTTATTGTCTATGGGATCTACCTGTCTCTGGTTGTATCATGACCATAGACTGTAAAAGATCATGACACATTCTTCTTATGCTTTTCTGTATTTTTTCCAATAATCTCTTCTGCAGTCTCAATACAATTGCACATATTTTATTATTGAATTACTCAATATCTTAATTTACATAATTTAAAGCAAGCAATTTTTTTATTCACTTTTTTTCCTTAAAAATATTCCAATCTGCTGTAATGAATTTTTACATATGTATTATGTCTCTATTTGCTATATCTACTTCAACCCCTAATTTGGATATTATAGGGAAGTGATACTACCCGTTGGAGTATTATTCAATTCCAGTTACTAATTCTAGCTAGATTTTGAGATAAATTTAAATCTAAAAAATTCTCCCTGATGCCAAACCCTTTTGTGTTGGTTCTCGGTTCTCCAAATCTAGAAAATCTAGAGTATTTATTATAAATTATTCATCCATGCACATCATTTTATTTTTGAATTCATGTAACCTCATAATCAAAATAGTTCTGTTCAATTTGAAGATGATTTTTTTTTTTTAAATGCTTTATTTAGTGACAAGTCACACTACAAATAAATAAAAAAATAACAACAACAGTTCTCCTCTGGCCAACGAACAGTGGATAATAATTCAGGCAGCATTACACCCTTAAGGAACAAAAATATATGGGAATATACTGAAAAATATAATGCAATATATTTCATAATACATTTCATTTTATGGGAACCTAGTGCTTATATTTACTGCAATATATGCATTGACCATGTATGGCTATATATTAATACATATAAAATATTTATGAATGACAAAAATAGCATTACATGTAATATTCACAAAGTTTTATCCTTTATTGTATAGATATATTGCACATACATGTTCCCATATATATGTAAATGCATATTCACAAAAATATACACACACATTCATGGAATGAGTTAAAGGCACACTATGCAAGAATTGTACCATAATATAACAGCTTCAAAGTCATTTCGGTGGTAAACAAACTCATAGAAGGGCGAATCATCCTGGTAGTAAAGCTTTGAAAAACCAACAACCGACTAGAAAAAACGCTGGAAAAACCAGCAATGCAAGTTTGAGAGGAGCACCCCCGACAAATCTCGCAATGAGGGCTGGACTGGCCATCGGGCATACCGGGCATTTTCTCGGTGGGCCGACGTGCTTTTGGGCCGATTCATCTCACACTTTCATTTTTTTTTTTTTACGGCCCATACAACTCGTATCGGTGGCCCATTTGTTTAGTTTTGTTTAATTGGCGGCCGCGATCTTTGTGCCGTTGAAACGCATTGGACGTCGGTGTGGGTTTTTTTATTTCTCACACAACGGCCCATGAAACACGGAGATCAGCGGCCCATTGGTTCATTTCTTGATTGACACCTGGCTGGTCCAATTATATCTTTAATCACCTCCCCCTCATGGGCTCTGAGCGAGCGTGCAGTGTGTCAGTGTATCTCTTAAAATAGTCAGAGCGATGGAGAAGAAACGCAATGAATGTGCAGAGTAGTGTTAATTTCGTTAACGAAAACTAAACGAAAATATTTTCGTCAACGCACATTTTTCACCGAACGAAAACTAGACGAGACGAGACTAAAATCCCCACTAATAAACAATAACTAGGAGTAAATCAGAAATAATTTTCATAGACTAATAAAGACGAGACGAAAATGCAGTTCGGTAAATAAAGACTGGGCTAAAATCAATGGACATTTTAGTTCACGAACAAAGACGAGACGAAAATGACATATTATGATATGGTTTTGTCAAATACTGTCTCCTCCTCCGCCTTCTCCTCGTCAGCTCTTCCGCCACACACCCACTTTCAAACCTGGAGCGGGCGGGCACAGTCAGTCAGAGTAGCCTACACAACACGGAGCAGACAGGAGCTGGATTCACGGTGAGGCGGCGGCGACAGGTTAAAAGTAAAACATGCTTTGCACGGGGCTCGTGAGAAAGAAGAGACGTGATATATGGACACATTTTGTTACAATGATAAACTAACTAATGATGGCTAACTTTCATAGCATTTAGTATCCAGGCTGGCTATGTTACGTTAGCTTCTTAGCACGTAGCGACCGTAGCCACTTGTTGATAGAATTGTATGTGAAGTTAAATTTATGCTAACTTAGATATGTTATACTGGCCGGGCAACTATAGTTTCAGTTAAATTTGATTAAAGCAGACAGACGCTTTAAAAAGATTTCATACGTTCTAGCAAGCTATGCCTTGTTTCACCTTAAATACTGAACCTTTATATACCATGTGAACTAGCTGGCAGGAAAGCACTTTTGTTGTATCAGTTGGAGTTTTTTTTTTTTTTTCACAACATTGACCTCAAATCTATTTATTTTTTTATTCTATGTGAACTAGCTTTAAACAGCCAGCACTTGTGTTAAGTTCATAATACACTTTATTTTATTTATTTGTTTCCTTTGTCAGGTGTATTTTATTTGTTTTAATGCAAGCATTTGTGTGTGTGTCTTTGAACCTTAACAATGTTCAAAATAAATATGAAAATATTGTCAGTACATCTTCCATGTCTTCATGTGTTCCTTAAAATTGTGTTTTTTATCAAAAAGATGAAAGAAAATGTTGAAATGTGAAATAATTTTAGGAAATGTTTAATATTATCTGCTGACAACAAAGTAAAAGGTTAAAATGATGTCCTGACTAAAACTAGACTAAAATGTTGACAGTTTTTTTTTACTAAAACTAAACGAATAAAATTATGTTTTCTTGGACTAAAATAAAGACTAAAATGCTCGACTTATAGTCGACTAAAACTAGACTAAACAAAAATGGGATGATGTCGACTAAATGTGATAAAAACTAACAAGCGATGCTGAAACTAGACTAAAACTGAAACTAAATTTAAAAATGGCTGGTAAAATTAACACTAGTGCAGAGAAATGGCATGAAAAAAGAAACAGGGTCTTCTTCAGTGTCTGATGAGGAGTGAGGAGGATCAGGAGAGACATTAGTGAGTGTAGAGAACTGTGGTAAGCAGAACTAGGCTACTTTCAGAACACAGGCTGGGAGAAGGAACTCATTACCTAGTTATGCGTTATTTCCACATCTGCATATTTGACGATTACGCATTTTACTAGAATTGTAATGAGAGTATGAGACCCGTTGTTTTCCGCCAAAATAAAAGCTCAATGCTGTTTCCATCAAAATAAAAGATTATGTGTTTATCTCTTTTAAGTATAGAAATTAGTTCTAAGCTAATTATGAAAGTTGCTTTTATTTTTTCACTGCATGTGTTTTATTTACAATATATGGCTTTTGTCATGCGATTAATATTATAACTATGATTAATGTAGACACTATATCACAACTTAAAGAGTTTTAAGTTTTTCTTTGTTCAATTTGCGCACTGAATATGGGCTGGAGCTCTTAATTTTGAACTCTCAAAGTGCACCAGATTGATGATTTTAACATTTAAAAAGCACAAAATTTTCTTTCGGTGGAGCATGCCCCCGAACCCCCCTAGAGGGACAGGTGCACTCACAGATACTATTGAAATAACTTGTGAGAAAGATTGG